AAATATGTGACGCAGGGCTCTAACGCTGTCATCATGTGATGGTCGAATTCGGTTTGTATTTCTTGGCCGGTGTCCCGAATTGAAGTCAATGAGACATGAAAAGTCGCAGTACACAATTTCTGTTCTACCGGGTTTTCCCATGAAATCAAAATCGAGTGACTCGAAATCACTAAGGTTAAGTTCCTCACTGCTTTCAGTTCTAAAAAATAAAACATTTATAGTAGCTATAGTATACAATAGTGTTTATTGTAATTTTTATTTAAATCCAAATCGTATGACTCAGTAGCAAAATAATAAATACAGTGGACGCCGCTTATAAGACTCACTTTGGGAACAACACGAAGTGAGTCTTGTACTCGAATGAAATTTCTTGACGGAGCTTAGAAAAAACGAAAAAAATATTTTTAATTTCAGGTACCTATATTTATATTACATAATAGTATAAATATACATTTCAAATTATTTCGCTACTTTATTTTTACATATTATATATTATTTATTAAAATTGTTTTTGTTTTGTTTTTGTTGATTATTTCGAGAATATTAGTCAATAGGAATTCAAAATTAGTGTCTAAATGGTGTGTGAAACGCAATAGCTATTGTTGTAGATATATAAGACATATTTATTAACAAATAAATTGAATCCAATATATGACAACATAAATAACTTTATAAAAATGTATTTATTTCGAAATTTCACCAAAAATATCCTTATAACAGAAGCGGTGAGTCTTATATCCTATTTTTTTTTTTAAGCGTTTGGATATGCCCTTATGACGGTGCCGGGCGATTTTGATTTCTATATAAGCGACTGAACCTTTTATTCGTCACTCTTGAGTCGTTTAGGTGTCACCCATCATCCACTATAGGATAATATGTAAGACATAAATACGATGGTTTTTAATTTATTAATTTTTTTTTACTCACGGAAAATATGTGAAGTCGTTGCAACTGTAGAAGTAAATAGACCGCCAAACACATTTTCACCGGCTACATAATATGAACACCTCACCGTGATTATATAGGCTGCGCATTCTATCAATCCGGTCAGCGTTAAGTTGTTGCCATTAGTTAACTTAACTTCAGTGGAGAGTTGAGTGGAATACATCAGTGAATAATTTACGCTGCCTTCGACGTCTGGCAATAGCCTCCATTCGGCATAAAACGCTGTTGGGCTTATAGGGTCTATAGTCAATTTAATGACACGTCTTGGGAAATCTTCTAATTGTAATATAAAAAAAAAATGAAACAATACAGAATTCAACAATGAAACACATAATCATATCAATGTACATGTTACAGGCAAATTGCTGAATCCGGCATTCTATAAAATAGACCTACTATAGAATGATAAAAATGAACAGGAAAAGTATATATACAATTTATACAACGATTATAATTTATAGATCTCTATTTGTGCTTTTTAGAATTCCGGATATCGCGAGAAAAAAATATACGTTACAAACATAATCAGACACAAAACTTAAACCGACAGAAGTCGGTGCATACAATTCGAGTTCCAGTATCCGCTGGGCCAGCTTGGTAAATATCTTATATCGGGGCTATGTGCTAAATGTTTTTGCGGGACGTATTTAGTGATTAGGGGTCATGTTCAATTGGTAACATTGATAATGAAGTGAATCTTTCTTGGCTAATTGTTGATCTTAAATACCTAGTTTTTTAAAAATGTTAATTTACAATACTGTAGCAGTGGTTTCTGGTGACGTTAATATTATTTGAAGTATTATTAAATTGGGATACATTTTTGAAAGGTTATTATCAAATATAAATTGCAAAATAATTGTACAAATATAAGTGTATGATCTCGTTGACAATACTTATTGGTCAGTCTTTCTAATACCAGTTATTCTTTAGATTATAGTAACACATTATTTTTTATAATATTATGGAAAAAATATTATTTTACGAAAAAATACACACATATTATGCTACGAAGTTGAAGAAAAAACAGTTAATTTAAGATTAAAAGATTCAGGTGATAATCGATAATGAACGCACCGCACTGCGACAGAACAGTACCTATGGTCAAAATGTAAACCGCACACATTCGCTGGACTTACATAGATCACCTCTTAAATATAATGGTTTTCCGACTTTATGTTTCGTTAAAAGATAAAAAGTACCGCCAGACAACTCGCAACAAGACATGTTGAATTTATGTAAATGTATTAAATCTCTTTTAAGCAAATCGTTCTATTATTATCATACCTGGTTGACGCAGCGTAGAAGCTACAGTCACATACACCGTTAACAGCGTGAACGACGTTCTAAAATAATTGTTAAACAAGTTCATGTCTGATGTGGTTGGAAACAGTGGTTAGGTACTGTGTGGCTGTTTATACGATTCGACGTCTCGTGTAACTACTAAAAGACCCGAGCCGAAGTTATACACAATAATATAATATTGTCTACCACATTATTATTTTGATCTAATCACAGTTTAATTGTTATGCGTGAAATAATAATAACTCGTCTTCGAAAGTAAATCAACTGCGACAAGCGCAGTGACCAATGGTTTGTGTATTGTGTTTATAGTGTATACGCGATAAAAAAAAATTATTAGATAAAAGGTCGAATATTATATACGTATGTCATAAATGTTGTTATACAATTCATAATTAGTTAGTTTGAAAAACTAGTATGTATATTATACATACATATTAGATATGCTATATATACGAGCTCAGACAAGATTTTTTTTTCTTTTGATGTCAGAAAATCTCAAGTTTTTTAAGTTATGTATACCATGATATAGCTTATAATGTAACCTAAAAATATTGTTTGTTTATATTCAATCAATAATTAATATATTTCATACATCGTACACAAACTCAATATTATAAGTATTTATAACAGAACAATTAGGTACATTTATACATTGATAAAGTAATAATACCTATGTCCCGGTCGATGAAATAATAAACTATTAAAATATAGAGTGATAAAAATATATCAGAACTAGAACAATAATAACATACGATTGATTCACAGATTATTATAAAAATTGAAAAATCAAAAAAAAACATACATCATAAGCAAAAAACCTAGTCAGAGATTGATTTAATTATTACACATTGATTTTCATTTAGTAGTATGTACCATAATATTTCCATACTCCATATACCAACCAATTTTGTGACTTGTGAGCTTTTTAATATTTTCCAAAATATTATTATATTATCAGCAACGGTGCTTTTTTATTATGTTTAAATATTTGTAATAAAAAATATAGTTAGGGTCAGTAAAGACTTAATAGTCAAAGTCAAACTTTAATAATAATTAATCGTCAAAGACATACATTTTTACAAATTTGTAATTGGATTGAATTTCAAAAAGTATAGGTATTCATAATATTAGTACATTTTCATAATTCATTCGTAATTAACTGTAACAATATGTACTTATAATATTAGTCAAAAATCCAAATATGTACATAAAAAATCTACGAATCTCAGAATTATCATTTCTAAAAAAAAGAGGACAATTTTAAGATCTTGAATTTTTTACGCCACCATGATTGCCCTAAGTGAAATCGACATCCTCTTAAATTTATCTCTGGCCAAACTGCATAAACAGCTGTATAGCACTTTCAAAATCTGAGTATATAGTTTGAGGTATAAATGAGCTTTTTTGAAAAAATTCGATTTGACTCGGGATGAAATTTGTATATCAGTTAAAAAACCACGGGACGGAACTAGTATACCTTTAAATTCAATTTTTATAATTCGGATAGAACTAAGATGCAGCCAAAGCAACATTTTTTTTTGAACGGGGTGCAGTACAAAAAAATAAAAAATGGGGGTCGCAATCCATAAAAGGTTGAAAACCACTGCTATAGAGACATAGAGCAGATGCAGGTAGGACAAAAAGGGTTTTCTAACTATTACACAGATAATTATTATGGAATATAATACATTTCTATAGTACCTAACCTGGTACTTTGTATCTATAAAGAAAATGTTCATCGATCACCACAAAGGTAATGCAGGGATCTATGCAACAACCAGACTATTCTATGAAAATAATTTCATGAAAGAAAAATGTTTACATGCCACAAGGAGGTTATAATACGAATTTATATTCGATGTAACCTATAAAGTATATTATTATGATTTACCTCCTGAGTCCTAGTAATGCTAATAAATAGTCACAAATTATAATTTTTGATATTTTTCATTTTACATATTTCATGCAGCCTGAAGATAGTCAATTATTGATCTGTTAGATAGTAAGATTTAGATATTATTAGTCTTAGATTGCCTATCGAACACAAATCTGAGCGCCATCCAAATGCGGGTCGAGGAGATCATTTTCGACTGGTCCGGGCAATCAATCAACAATTTGTTAATCTTACTTCTCAACTGCTGTTATTTTTTAGGGGCCTCAGCGGTGGTGGTTTTTTATATAATTTCAAATTTTAAATTTTCTGAAACTATCCACCTGATTGGTTTTGCAAGTTTAAAACAAAACAATATCTTTCACATATTTTTACATGATATTCTTAACACCTGGTTTTTAAGTAGGCATATTGTATCCATGGGCATAGGATAGATTAAAGTAGGTACACCTTAAGTCTTACAGAAGTTGTTATTTTGATGGTCTTTGTTGTTGGTAAAATGTTCGATATACAATATAATAGTTGTTTGAACAATCCATTCGACATTTTCTCTGGCAAGTTTTATAAATACCTAATGATATTTTAGACATGTTAAAGCCATATTTGTCTAATAGGTACATACTAAGTTAAACATTCGTACTAGTATTGTTTATAATACTCAAATTTAAAATAAGGTAAAATTTAGTAATTTAGTAATCTGTTTAAAAAATTGAATGTTAATAAATTGTTTATTTTAAAACTCTATAATAGTGACTCAATACTAAGTAAAACAATTTTCTTTAAAAGTGACTAGCATACCATATTATTGTTTAAAATTATAGATATATATGCAGGTATATTTATGTGAAAGTACCACACTTTTAAAAAAAAATATATTTGACTTAATTATGAAGAATTTCAATTTATACATCGAGTACAATAAGTAATATATTATATTTATTATTTACAGATAGTTCACAGGTTAAATCAAATACATGAAGAGGAAATCACACATTTGTGACACCCCTGAATATTTTAAGTACTTAATCTTTAAGTTATCAAGTCACGGCACCAGTTCCTTTCGAGGCATCTGGTTGGGTTGACAGGGAGCGTAAGTGAAGCTAATTCGTTTATAAGTTGGTTTGGATTTTCTCACAGTTTGGAACGGAAGCGCAAGAAGAAGATAGCAGCAGTTTCATTGATGGATGGTAATTTGAGCATTTAATGACTCATTCGAGACGAACCCTGGGCACCCGTGATTATACGTTGGAAGATGTTTTGGAAGGCTTGAATAGATCTTTTATTTGAGTTCTTTGCAGAGCCCCAGATTACGATGCCATACGTCCAGATTGGTTGAAGAAGAGTTTAATATAGGATAATTTTGATAAGTATAGTTAAGTCCGAACAAAGGAGAGGCCTTAAAAGATGTAGTCTGGAATTAAGCTTTTCACGCTTATCCTTTAGATGAAGAGACCAAGTTAAGCGTCTGTCAAGTATGAGGCCAAGGTATTTAACTTCGGTCAAGTGAGGAATGTCAATGTTGTTTATTGATACAGCTAGGCAGCTGTGAGGTCGAAGTGCAAAAGTGACAAAAAAAGACTAGGATTCGTTGATTTTTGTCTTCCAATTGGTAAACCATTGTGAAAGAGTGTTTATTTGTTGAGATGGTCTGGAGAAACTGATAATAAGGCGGTATCATCAGCATATGTTCCAACTATAGTATCTTCAGATGTGGGCAGGTCTGATGTGTATATGGTGTATCAGAATGGAGCGATATCACTCCCTTGGGGGACGCCAACAGAAATAGGAAATTGATTAGTGTTGTAAACTGTGGCGGACATTAAATGAACGGTTTTCTAGATACGATTTAAGTATTAGGTATAATGGGGCAGGAAATATTTTTTTTAGTTTAAAAAGAAGACCTTCATGCCATACGGTATCAAATGCTTTCGCAACATCTAAAAAGACTCCAGCGCAGTATTTTTTGGTTTCAAATGCTGTTGAGATGGTGTCCACTACACGGTAATCGGAAAAAAAAGTCCCGGTAAAAAAAGTCCCAGAAAAAAAAGTCCCGGTAAAAAAGTCCCGGTAAAAAAAGTCCCACACTAGGAAAAAAAAGTCCCGAAAAAAAAATATTATTCTTGTAGGTACTTGTACAGTTCTATAGTAAGTTGTGCTTTGTATTTTAGTGTGTAACTGTGTAAGTGTAATGAATAAAATGCTTGTACATATATTTGTCATCCACCATAATAAGTAATAAATAATAGAAAAAAAAGTTTACTGGAAAATACCAAAATACTTAGATATTCTTATACTGCACTTGTACAGTTGTACTTTGTACTTATTTTAGTGTGTAATGTATTGGTAGGTATAAAATATATTTATTATCTACCATAATAACTATCATAAGCCATATATTTTGATCCTATATTAATTGGTACACTAGAAAATTCCCCATTTCCGAACATCACACACAGTCATATATAGGTAATGAGACTGTTGCCAGTCTTTTGGATGACATCGTAATAATTGACGTTTCGTAATTTCGTTTATACGTTTGTTTTTAAATTTTATATTTTTTCGCAGTATATAAAATGGAGTTGGAGTTAATAAATTCTAACAAAAAATACCCTCAGGTTGCGCATAAGGGATTTTTGTACAATTTCCATAAAGAATGCTCTAATTTTCTTCGTTGGAGGTGTTCAAAAAACAGCTCTATGAAGTGTCCATGTTTTTTGAAAACTAATTTGAACATAGCTAAGCCAACTTTGATTTCTGTAAATAACGATCATGTGCATGAATCAAATGAAAATTTTATTTCTGCGACTAAAATAAAAAATTTAATGGTGGAAAAAGCTAAGCTAACAAACGATTTACCTGCTCAAATTTTCGCGGAAGTGGTATCAAACGTACCCCGAAGTATACTCGCTGAATTGCCAAAAGAAGAATATCTTAAAAGAACAATTAGAAACCACAGAGCATGTAATGATCCACCTAAACCTACTTGTGGAAACGAAATAATTATTGAAGGTAAATAATATTGTAAATTTTTAAAAGTAATTTTTATACTAAACGTAGCTTAACGCCTTAACCTAGGTACTCTCCAGTTGATTATTTTATTAAATTTAATATTTTTCACATAATTTTAAGCCATTACACATATTTTTTTAATTTAGGAATAATTTATTTTTACTAGGAGAGTATCGGGAATATGGAAATGAAAGATTTTTGCTGTATGATAATGGCCCAAATTCTGATGATAGAATTTTAATGTTCGCCACTGATAACTATTTGTCGTTATTGGCCAAATCTGATACCTGGTTTGTCGACGGAAATTTTGGCCTCGCTCCCGAATTTTTCAAGCAATTATACGTTATTCGTGTACAAATAAATTCCGTATTTGTGACATCAGTATATTGCGTTCTGCAGAAAAAAAGTCAATCTACATATGAAAAAATATTTAGTATTTTATTAAAAGAATGTCAAGATCGTGACTTGTACCCAGATCCGAAATTTTTACATTTAGATTTTGAATTGGCAGTCATAAATGCTGCAAAAAATATTTTTGGAACTCATATTACGATTAACGGATGTTTTTATCATTTGTGTCAATCGACACATAGAAAAATTCAGAAACTTGGTTTGTCTGGGATTTATAAAGAAGATAATAATTTTCGAAAATATTGCGGCATGATTGATGGATTAGCTTTTCTACCACAGGATAAAGTACTGGACGGAATGACATGTCTAAAAGAAATAATGCCTCCAGATGCAGAAGACCTTTTAACTTATTTTGATTCTTATTATGTAAATGGTACCTATAGGCGTGTAGGTTCAGCTTCTACTTTGCATTTTAGAAAAATTCCACCTATATTTTCACCTGCCTCGTGGAATGTACATAATGCCACTTTAGTAGGGGGGCATCGAACAAACAATATGACTGAAGGCTGGAATAACCGATTTTCAAAGTTATGTGGACATAAACATCCAACTATTTGGAAACTAATTAGGAAAATAAAAATGGAAATTTCCGCAGATGAAGCGAAATTAGCTTTAGATGCTGTAGGAGATTCGAAAACTGTTAAAAAACTAGGGCAAACTCGGACAGTAGAAAAACGGCTGCAAAATTTATGTATACAAATACAAGCGGGCAATATCGGTGTTTTAGATTTTTTAACAGCCGTAAGTCATAATATAAGAAAGAGGTGTACCTAATTATAATATTACATTTTTATAGCATTATTATTATAATTATATTGGTACTTTAATTGTATTATTATTATTTACTTTTATTTGACTTACTTTTTATTGACTATTTATTATTGTAATAAATTGTAAGTAATTAACATCTTTTATGATATTATATGACTTTGTATGTATTTATATATTCATCGGGACTTTTTTTTCCTAGTGTGGGACTTTTTTTACCGGGACTTTTTTTACCGGGACTTTTTTACCGGGACTTTTTTTACCGGGACTTTTTTTTCCGCGATTCCCACTACACGGTGAAGTTGATGAGTTGTGGCATGAAGAGAACGGAAACCAAACTGGAAGTATGGAATACTGTTATTCAATTGCGCAATGGTAGTGATGCGCTTGAGGATGACTTTTTCTAGAATTTTACCAAGAACTGGTAGAAGGCTAATAGGCCGGTACGAGGAGTGGTTTTCTGAAGGCTTACCAGGTTTGAGTACAGTGACCATGACTGATGATTTCCAAGTAGTTGGGAACTGGGAAGTAAGATAGTCGAAGGGTGGCATTATAAATATGTGATAGGTGAACAATCATTTTCGTCGGGAGGTTTTTAACAACTTTGTTGGAAATAAGATTGTGGCCTGGAGATTTGTTATTTGCGAGGTTTTTTATAATGCCTACTATCTCTACTGGGGAGGTAGGTTTTGCAGGGAGGGCCACAGGTAAGTACCACACTTATAACAAATTGTATATAAAAATCAGCCTATTAGGTCAAAATATTCATTTTTTTTAAAAATATTTACCTAATATAATACAATTTATGTTTACCTCTATAGCCTATAGGTATTAGTATAATTTTATATGCTGGCCACATACTCCCCTATACAGCTACACATTTATGTATAATCAAAATGATTAAGTATCAAGTATTTAATTTAAAAAAATAGAAATAAGTAAATAACAAAAAATTCAATTAATTATTGTGAATTGTCTATCATAAGGAATATAATTGTTACTCTCAAGCTTAGAACAGTTGTTGAAATAAAAAATTGGAGTAAAAATATATTATGTAATTGTTATAATTCATCACACTCTTAAATGATTATACAGTGTTGGGTAAATTACTTTTGTGAAGTAATAGAATTACATTACTTGTTAGTTGTTACATTAAATATTTTTATTTAAATTACATTTGCATACCCAACATTATGTTAATCACATTACGTTAATTTTTCATTCAAAAAGTAAGGCGTAGCAAAAAATATTACTTCTTTTAAAAATGAATCACAAAATCAGCTCATAACACCTAATAAGTAGTATTAACTAAAAAGTAATTTTAATATGGTATATTTTACAGTGTTATACCTCATACTATTATATAAATTGTATAGCAGACAGAAGTATAGGAAAACATTGATGATGTAAATACATTGTTAATTATTTAATACTATACATGAACAAAATGTATACAAACTAATACCTGGGATTTTTAATAATATTGTTGATTATTATCGAAAACTTTTGGAATTGTAGATAGATTTAATTGATTTTTAAATTTTTCTCAAATATCCTAATTCGTAGCACCTAAGTTTTGTCATACATTTTACATTCTTATTTTAATAATGTGGAAAATTACACATTACTCTATAGAAATTACTTTTTAAAAAGTAATTTTTAATTAACAAATTACAAGTGCCCAGACTTATTATCCATGATATTTTTTTAGTGTCTTTAGGGGTTATTATAAATTATTTAAGTAAAAACATTTATGATCGTCTATTAGCAAATTTTATTTTAAGACACTAATAAACCTTAACATAATAATATTCATATTTTAATTTAATTAATTATATGGCTTACTAATTTGATTCTATTTTAGTCTGTTAATTTAAATTATGTATACATTTTACAATAAAATATTCACATTACTTAAACTAGATAATTCAACAATAATACACCTGTATACCATTTAATTATTAAAATGTGGAGGCTTATCAATGACTACCACTCCGGCATAACTTCGGCCAATATTCATAGAAGCTGTTAACATCGACCATGTATTGGTGTTGGGATTGTAAATTTCTATGGAAGCCAAATTGGAAGCTCCGTCATCACCACCCACAACATACAACAAGCCATCTAATGCAATTACTCCTATATTAGGACATAGTATTAAATTTATATATTTCTTCAAAAAAATGTATTCGTAAGATAATTAAAAATTATTATACTTACCAGCATTTCTTCGACACATATGCATATCAGCAATAGAAGTCCAAACCCCAGTACTAGGTCTATAGGCTTCAACACTATTTCGAACTTCAGGTCCATCATGACCACCAACAGCATACATTACACCGTCTAAGACTCCTACACCAGCACCACTGCGACGTACGCACATTTCTGCAACTGGCGTCCATGTATCAGTACTGGGATGATAACATTCAACAGATTTTAAACACTGCCTTGATAATCCATCATATCCTCCAACCTACACAATTAAAGTAAGGCATATATTTTATAAATTTAGTCTGGTTCTTACAATCTCCGGTTAAAGTTAACAAATACTTAACCGGCTGAATTCTGCTGGTAATAAAATATGTTATCAGCCGTTTAGCATTAACTGACATTTAACCAGGTATTATAAGTACAGCCCTTAAAATAATAAAATAAAATATTAATTTACCGCATATAAAAGATTATTGAGGACTCCAACACCAACACTACTTCTCCTAGTAGACATACTAGATACCATTCGCCATTCTTGAGTACTGCAGTCAAAAACTTCTGCACTATTTAAACCACTAGTACCATCAAACCCGCCAACCTAGAATTTATTATATAATTTACAGCATATAACGTGACATAAGAAATATTACAATATAGGTAACTTACAGCATATATACAATTATCTAGTACAGCCACTCCTAAAGTTCCTCGTCTAGCTAACATGGCAACTGTTGGTACCCAACAAGGTGATGGGGATGACAAATCAAGCATATCCACTGTACGAACCCTTAATGAACCATTAAAACCACCCACAGCAAATACACGGCGATCTTTTAATACAGCTAGGCCTGCTCTACAACGACGCGTACTCATTTCTGGTCCAGACTGCCATCGGTTGGTTGCTGGGTCATACCATTCTACACTACGAATGGCTTTAGGAGCTTGTCCTCCAACCACTAGTATTACCTGTAATGTAAAAATGGATATACTAATTTTAAAACTAAATTAATCGCTAGAAAAAGTTACTTTAGGTAAACCAACAGGTTGTCTAGGTTTGGTACGAATGGTTTTTGGAATAGTACCAGGCTGTTCAGACTTGAGTAAATGAAAATTTAAAGCTTCAATTATATAGTCTTTACCTAAAAATATTAGATGAATATTAAATTATAATTTAGATTTAAGGTAAAGCCTTTTCAGTCAAGAAATCAAAGATAAAACATACATTCAAGACTATTTTTAAGAAGAGGTTCCTCTTCGACTCTTTTAAGTAAATATTCTTTTGATGCTAAAGGCAAACGAACATGTTCCATTAATTTAGGCAAAATATCTTTTCTACAACTTGATTCATAATTTACCCAACAAATAACAGATTCAAATACCTAAAAAAAAATATAAGGGGTTAATTAATTATCATTAGATTAAATATAATGAACCGCTTATCAATCATCAGCTGATGTATTATATCTAAATGAAACAATTTCCTTGAAACCTACTTTTTCTTCAGACGGAACTGTGAGTTCATCACTGGAGATTAACTTAACTACTTGTTCGGATGATAAGGATAGGAACTCGTCACCTTCAACCACTTCTCTAAGAATCAAAATATAAAAATATTAAATATAATTTTCATATACTTTCATACAAATAAATAATATATCATACGAAAAGTGTTGTTGAATATATGATTCAGAACTAGATAAAAGTTCCATACAGCCATGTAAATCAGCAAACGCCTTGATACCAAGACAATTTGTAGGATGCAGTTGTGATTGTAAAAAATCACAACATGCATCTTGTACATCGTGTAATTGTAAGAGATTTGCAGCTGGTAACAAAACCTTAAAATAAAATGATAAATCAAAAATAGTGCATTTAAATTAACTTTCAGATTACCCATAAAAAATTTAATATGATTTATACCTGTACATTTTCTTCACTGACCATTATTTGGGCAGTATAAATAAAATCTACTAGTAGTTTTAATGCTGTAGAATCTAATTCTCTAATAGTTACATGATCCTTATTGCTCTCTTCAAAACTTGTGAACATGGCATGGAAATAAGGGCTAGCAGATGCTAAGACAACTTTGTGTCCAAATACTACTGTATGATCATCTGTTTCTAATTTTATATCACAAAAAACCTCATCTCTAAAACAAAAATGTGTTACTACAATTTATTTATCTGGAGACTAAAAGTTGAAATCTCTCACAACAATACAACATACCTGCGCAAAGATTGTAAAACTTCAAATGCACGAACTGTATGAGAGCTATTTCTATATGGAGTTCGTTCACGTCTCCCCGACCTTGGTACTTGTTTTTGAGAGCTCTCGTCTAATGAATTCTGACTCGCGTATCGTAATAATAAACCTACTCCTCTGAACATATTTATAATTTGACATTAATAAATAACAAATACCTAAGAATAAGTAGCACAGATCATCTCGGACTTACCCTGTTAAAACGTTATCGCCTTCCATATTGAAAAGAAGTGAAAACTTAAATTTAAAAAATGCTTAGTTCATTCACACATGGTTGCATTATGCTAAAATACCAAAGGTCATATCATCGTTATGAATTCAAAAATGTATTATTTTATTGAATTTCTATACTAAATTCATCAATAAATTATTACGTTATTTTAAATTAACAACTATAAAAACTATGAAATAACAAACAACAATTAATAAGTAGATGTACTAATTAAATAAATAATAATTATGATTTATGAATATTAAGATCCTTATTCTCTACCAAGTACCAGTAGAGTCGTAGTAGACAGTAGTTTTTCGAATTGATGTTATCAATGACGACTGATAAGAATATCAAAAAATTATTGATCGATTATAGCACAAAATCATGGTTTAATATAATAATTACACAATAACGCATGATGTGCATAATAATATGTTCAAGCAATATAATAGAATGTACATGACAAGGATGATGGATCATAACTAAATATGTTTCTATATTTCCTTATTTAATTTTTATATGTATTATCTTACCAATATATTTAGCAGTGGCATCTGGCAAGGATAACGGCCTGACGTAGTCATGAACATCATACATGTTTATTTTCATTTAATTAAACAATAATAATTGTTATATGCATATACCTATCTAGTTTCAATTGCATGTATGTTTTAAATTATATTTCACCAAAATGATCGATTTATCAACACGTCCTTTTATAATGCCCAATAAAGTTTATTGATATTTTATAAATTCAAACTACCTATATCATGTTTGCTTAGGTCCTACACACACGAGACCATCAACCTTCAGTCAAATCAACATTTAATTATGTAAAATATTCTATAACTCTTATAAATTATAATATTATAAATAATAACAATATTACATTATTGCTTTTAAGATACCTATTAATTATTAATTTCTAAATTGAGATACATTAAATAAAACTATAACTAACCATATTATACATATACCTACACAATACACGACTGTAGGAGATTGATGTTGATTAGTTTGACTTGAATATTTTTGTCTGTGGTCTATGTATTAAGCATTGATACGTTTTAAATTTCTCGTTCGAGACGTCAGGGAATAATATAATAGTGTATTCGTGATACCGAAATAGCTAATATATATATATATATAATATATCTAATTCGATAATTAGGCATGTCAAAATAAAACTATTACAATGATATTATAATATGCATTTCTACTTTCTACATAATTATATGTATTAGATTATATTATTATTTAGTACCTAATTATTATTAATTATTATTATACACAATATGAAAATGCTCTCATTTACTTAATTGTATTGTATTTACTGGAAAGTGGAAAGACTAACAAAAGGTTAACAATACGCTATGTGGTGGAAATAATTTTGTTCCTTCCGATTCCGGATACATCGGGGTTAACGAAATTAGTCGAATATTGTACTTATTACCTAAAGAGAAATAGTAGAATAAATTGCACTTGGGTTTAATAAAGGTAATGGTCGAACTGCACTCGTTCAAAAAAGGGAATTAAAATTCTATAAAACCTTATACGAATGATTTTATGTCAACTATCTCAAAAAACTTTGTATTATATTTGCAAGCTATTAGACACTGGAAAAAACTTATCAATGTAAATCGATTAAAAGTACACGAATACAATTTTTTTTCACAGATACCTAGGGCAATCTATATTCGCCAAATTGAATTTTATTAGCATGTAACGAAAGTGGATAAAATAAATAAAAAGTTTTTTGGCTCAAAATGAGACACACGCAAAAAAATGTAGAAAAAACAAATGGTTATTAGAATTAGAAAAAATAAGAAATATAACAAAATATTATGTTACTCAAAGTAGCCTTATCTGCAGAAACACAAATAAATATTAATTGAAACAAAACGAATAATAATAATAAAAAAAAAAAACAACAGTTAAGGCACAATAATCTACGGTAGTGGTATGTGAAGTGGGTGCAAGTTAAGAGCACTGATCACCTATATACGAGTGCAGTCGCTGGCGAACTTTCCCGCGGATGATAACTATCATGATGGCGGGTGAAGCCCAACTGCAACGAGATGGAAAATAAAAAAAATTAAATTATAAGCAATTAAAATTTTTTTTAAATTTAATGAAAAAAATGAAAAAAAAAATACAAAATGAAAAAAAAAAACAAAAAAAAAAAATTTAATTTACGTTTTGTTTATTGATTGATGAGTTAGTTCTACATACATTTTCAGCACTACGACAAAGCTCAGTTACGTCATTAGTTGGCTTAATAAGTTTTCCTCTGTTTTCCATGTCTATGAAAGGCATTGGAATTGAATTTGTTTCAGACAAAACCTTCACACATTCAGTACAATTAATTATTTTTATTATTTTTTTGTTATAGCTCCACTTATGTACTGAGTTACGTCCATTAAATAAAATGTATGTGGAGAATTTTGTAAGGCCAGAAACATTGACATAGTTTCATCTTATAGGGACGGCTGAAGAAACAAGATCCAAGCAATTTGATACAGAATTGGTTTTCTTGGAAGCACTAGTGGTTGACGGTATTTCAGTTGTCTTGAGAATTTGAGATATGCAATTTGCCTGAGAAGAAGTAACTATTTCACTGTGTATTAATTATCTTTTATATGCGGCTTCAAATTGACTAGCTGTACTAGCTGTAGGGTTGTCACAGAATCCACCATGTGATCTTATTGCCGAAAAAACATTTCCAAATTGTCTTGGGAAGTTTTATATGTTAATATAAATTCCAATTTATTGGTCTAGAGAACATCATCTATTAATTGACCAAGACTTGTTAGACATATTATAAAACCATTGAAACAGTTCTTCTTCCAGAATTTATTACTGGTATAAACTGATGTGCCTTTGACTGTTTGTTGAATATTTTGGTCTGTATGTTTGATAGATAGGTAGTCAAATGAAGAAGAAATAAATGGTTTAAGAAATGTCTAATCATTTAAATAAATAGATCTTTTGAATTTGGTTTTATCTAAAAAGTTTAATTAATAGGTCTATACGTATTTATTTAACGTTAGCCAAATACAAAAGTGTAATTTCATACATTGTTAGCATGTCTGTTATCTTAGGGGACCGAACCATAGAACAAATGTTCTGTGACCGAACTGCTTGATGCGCGCTCGATGCCCGGTTGGAACCACAGATATATTATATAATAATATTATTAATAATGTTATTATTTATATAGTCTGTGGTTGGAATAAATATTTGTCAATATTATTTGTTAATATTTTCCTATATACTTTTGAACAAAGTTTATTGGTACAAATGGTTTGTGAAACAAAAGTTCATCGGAACAGTTGTATTGTAGAACATCGAGTATAATTTAGATATTTTGGATAAGTTGGAACAAATATATTGTGGTACAAATAGTAGCTGAAAAAAATTACTTTCGTTCCAAAAAAATTATGATCCAGGTTTTTTAAGATCCACAAAATAATATTGTTCCGGAAGTTTTTTTCCACAAAATATTTGTCCCGAACGTGGAACAAGTATTTTGTGAAACAAAAGTCCATCGGAAAAAGTGTTTTGAGGAACAATATGCAATGTCCCCTTTGTGATTGGTGTAATTATTGATTAGACTAAATTCTGTTATCATATGATTTTATCTCATTGAAATACATGCCATTATTGACATAAAACAAAGTGCAAAACACTGTCTAGCACATCTTATATATTCTTATATAAGCAGCAATCCTAACTCCTATGAAGTCGTACACTACACCCGCAACTCGCAAGACGCTACGAGTCTACGGCAGTACGATGTCCACCGGTCTACATAAATTATAATGTATTTAGTTTTTAGAATCTAATTATCTTTTAAATAAAAAAAATCGAATAACTAATATTAATAATATGTAATATTATTCTAATTTAGTTTCAATAATGAAGTTAATAATATTTTAGAAATTGAATTTATTTTTATTCAAGAGAGACTATTTTCGTCAGTGACAATTTATGTATGTATAATAATTTGCTATTTAAGTAAAAAAAATATAATATATAGTTTCTTTTAAGTTCTACCTACTTGAATTTTTAAATTATAAAAATTGATAAAAAATAATTGTTGTTTGTTATTATAATAATATGTAAATATTCATACTTTTAGTACCTATAATCACTACCGCCAAATTTATATATCATGTCAAGCGATTAATTCACTTTTGAATGGGGGATTTTTAAAAAGTTTCGATGGGTTGGTGGTGGGATAAAAATTTTGAATCTCGTTTCATTGGCCAAAAATATTTAGAGTTTGATGCCTCTGCCTGTTACATATAAGTACTATATGATATTAAGAATGAAAGTAGGTTTGTGTATTTATATTTTATATAGTCATACAGATGTATTAATAATAATTGGTACAAAATCATTATGTTAGATATACAAGCAGTATTTTTTAAGAAAATTTCAAATTTATATACATAATATTTACTTCTAAATAGTAATGGACTGAAAGCTATTTAAATAAATAAATAAAACAAAATATTTACTTCTGTCTTCTTCTATTAGGTAATGACATTTAGTTTAGTACTTACTTTCATACTATGAACAATTGTGAAATCAGTAATGTCCAGTCCTATTATTATGAAGTCATAGCTATTGGAGAATTTAATTTTATTTAAATACACACTTGGCTAAATTCTGTTCAAGATAAGAACAGAATCGGTGGCGACCAGTTTTTGTCGGTGGCAGTCAGACACTTTTCCTACCAAGTTGACAAGGAAGGCCAGTGCTTTAGAGTAAAGCCACCCCCATGCACAGAAGCTGACTACTGAGCTCTGTTCTTATGTTGAACAGAGTATAGAAATAAAGAGTTTGAAAACGTGTATATTTATTAACATTAATAGTTGCATCGATCCTTAAATGTAAAGTGTTGTAGCCGATATTATAGGGACCTTGTTATTATTAAAACTATAGTACAATGCTAACTGATTAATTAGCTAATTTCAAATTTTCATTGCTTAAAAACCAAGTATGACCAACTTTATGTACAAGTTATTAGTCAGAACTTGTTGAAATAAATGTTTAAAAATATAAAATGGAAAACAAAAAAAAATTGTATTATATGTAATTCATGGAATTTAAACATTTGATTTTGTTATTCAATTAGGAAGTTATATCTATCAGGATTAATTTTTAATTTAATTTAATGGCGTTAACATTTGGTGATAATATACATACCAAAACATTCACTCCTCAAGAATACCTAGTTGAAGTTCTGAGTTCAGCTAAAAACAAAAATGTTATTGTTTCATTAGAAGGTATAACAAATAAGGTATTTGTTATTTTGAAAC